CTAATATGATTAATTCTTCTATGAATTCAATCATTTCTTCCTTACCTTCAATCCCTAAATTAAAAAATTTTAATTATTCAACAATTCCATCAACATTTAATACTACTACTACAACAACAACATCATCAAATAAATTTTTAAAAAATCGACATAAAATTTTTAAAATTTTCTTTATTTTACACATAATTTTTGGATTTATTATTTATAGATATTCAAATTCACAACCTTTTTTACCATTTTCATGTCAAATTATAAATATTGGATGTCCTTCAGTTAAAGTAACAGGATTTACTACACCAGAATTTATTGGAGTTAAAAAAATATTTGAAGAAAATATTAAAAATGGATTAGATATTGGAGCAAGTGTTAGCGTTTTTTATAATAATAATATGGTAATAAATTTACAAGGTGGAATTGCTAATTTAAATAATGGTAAAATTTATGATTCAGAAACTTTACAATTAGTATTTTCTAGTAGTAAAGTTTTAACAGGAATAGTGATAGCTAGACTTGTTGAACAAGGACTTTTAAATTATAATGAGAAAATTTCTAAATATTGGCCAGAATTTTCCCAAAGTGGTAAAGAAAATGTTACTTTATTGGATTTAATAGTTCATCGTGCTGGTGTAAGTTATATTGATTCACATCAAATGACTTTAAAAGATTTATCAAATCTTGATTCATTATCAAAAATTCTTCAATCTCAACCTCATAATTTTAATGGTATACCAACAAAAGCATATCATGGAGTTTCACGTGGTTGGTATTTAAATGAAATAGTTCGTAGAGTTGATCCAAGACATCGTACTATTGGTCGTATAGTTTCTGAAGAAATTGCACCAGTTTATGATATTGAATTTTATTATTCAATAAATAAGAAATCATTATATGAAAGGGTAGCAAGTATTTATTCTTATCCTATAATTAGAATACTTGCGAAATTTTTATTACCAAAATGGATGATTAGCGAACCGTTAGAACCAATTTTTAATGAAATGATGAATAAAGAAAGTGTAACTTATAAATCTCTTATTCAAACAGCTCCGGATAGAAGTCAACCACAAGATTGGAATAGATATGAAATGTTAAATTATGAAGGTCCTAGTTATAGTGGTGTTACTAATAGTAAATCTATGGCAAAAATTGCAGCTATGATGGCTAATGGTGGTAAACCTGTTAATGATTCATCAGCAGAAGTTCTTGAACCATCTATTTTAACAAAAAATACTTATGATCTTATTATGACTAAATTACCGGAAGTTTTTGATGAAGTTTTACAAAC